CCAGTACCTCAGTTGAAAATGCAGAAATCACCTGTCTTCTGTGTTGCTCGCCCTGGGAGCTGGAGACTGGAGCTGTTCCTGTTCGGCCATCTTGCTCCGCCAGTAATGCTGTTTTTATAGAATGAGTTAGAAAGAATTCTCTTTCACTTTTTAGAATAGTTTGAGAATTGATATTAGTTCTTTTAAAAAAGTTTTGTGGATTTCAGATGTACAGCCATTTGCTCCTGTGCTTTCTTCATTGGGAGGTTGTTAAAATTACTCATTCAATCTTACTACTCATTATTAGTCTGTTCAGGTTTTCTATTTATTTCTGGTTCAATCTTCATAGATTATATATGTTCACACATTTATACATTCTTCTCTTGATTTTCGAATTTGATAGCACATAGTTGTTCATAATAGTCTCTAATGGTCCTTTGTATTTCTATGGTATCAGTTGTAATGTCTTTTATTATTTCTGATTTTATTTATTTGGGTCTTCTCTCTTTGTCTTGTTTAGCTAGCTAGCAGTGTATCGATTTTATCTTTTCAAAAAACCACCTTTTAATTCATTCTGCTTATCCTTTGTGTTTTTTTAGACTCTATTTTGTTTAGTTCTGCTTTGATCTTTATTATTTCTTTTCTTCTACTTATTTTGCATTTGGTTTATTTGTGCTTTTCTACTTTCTTGATGTACAGCATTACGTTGTTAAAATCTTTCCGCTTTATTGATTTTGTAATTTATTGTTGTGAAATATCCTTAGCACCGCTTTTGCTTTATCACATAGGTTTTTGTATGTTGTGTTTGCTTTTACATTTGCTTCAAGAAATTTTCAAATTTTTCTTCCTAATTTTTTCATTGATCTAATGGTAATACACAAACATGTTGTTTAATTGCTGTCTATTTTTACCACCTCCAGAGATCCTCTTGTTATTGATTTCTAGTTTTATCCCATTGTGGTCTGACAAGATATTTGATATGATTTTGATTTTTTGAAATTTCTTGAGACTTGTTTTGTGACCTAACATATGATCTATCCATGAAACTGTTCCATGTGCTGATAAGAAGAATGTGTATTCTGCAGCTTTTGGATGAAATATTCTGTAAATGTCTGTTAGGTCCATTTGGTTTATAGTGCAGATAATGTGTTGATTTTCTTTCTATATGATGTGTCCAATGCTGAATGTGGGAGTTTTGAAGTTTCCCACTATTATTGTATTGGGGTCTATTTCTCTCTTTAGTTCTAATAATATTTGCTTTATATATCTGGATGTTCTAGTGTTGGGTGCATTGTTATATCCTGTTACTGAATTGATCTCTTTATCATTACATAGTAACTTCTTTGTTTGTATTTGTGTTAGTCCATTCTCATGCTGCTAGGAAGAAATACTCAGACTGGATAATTTATAAAGAAAAGAGGTTTCATTGATTCACCATTCCACATGGCTGGGGAGACCTCAGGAAACATACAATTATGGCAAAAAGCACCTCTTCACAGTGCAGCAGGAGAGAAAATGATTGCCAATTGGGGAAATGCCAACCATCTATAAAACCATCAGATCCTGGATGACATACATAGGCAGGCTTATTCTCAAGCTCTGTGGTGGTGCATTCAGGTGTGCAGTGACCCTTCAGCTGGAGGCGTGTTGTTTTTGTTAATGGCAGTGTCCTGGAGAAGATGGTTTTCAGACTCTGGGAACTGTGCATTTTGGCTCCTTTTGTCCTGTGGGCAGCCTCCCTGGTGTGCTATACTGCCTGTTTTGGATGATTTAGGACACTATATGGCTACAGTGCTGGGGACCCAGATGTATTGCTGGGTTCAGCTGGCATCATAATGCAGCAGCCCTCTGGTTGGATGTGGAAGGATGTCCTTGGGGCTCCAGGGATGTGGAGATTCAGGGGCAGCTAGGCCCCAGGGCAAGATGTAGCCTGATGGGGGATTATTTCTCAAAATGGTGGCAAGTTGCACCCGCTTAGGGTTCAGGGGGTGAGTAGAACGGAGTGTGAATTTCCTCTGTAGAACAACGCAATTGCAATGGACTCCAGATGACTTTCTATGCTAGACTCTCCTGTGGCTATTGCAGGCATCTGTGATGGGAATATGCAGCACTGGGGATCTTTTACTTACCTTTCCTTTGCAGTGGGGAACTTCTCTTGGATCTGAGACAATCATGGCTGGGCCAGTTGCTTCACTTCCCTCTCCTTTCATGCCTCAGAGGGTCCCTGTTACTTCCCTGCTGAATTCCAGTGTTCTCGCTTAGGCACTTTATTCGATGTGTGGTTATCTACTTGTTTTTAGAGGTGCCTGACACTGGCCCCTTCCTTGTGAATGAGGCAAGTGTCAGGCACCTCTAGTCAGCCATCTTCTTCTAATCTTTTGTGCAATTTTTGTAATATATTTTACTTTTTCATATGGCATAAACACACAATACATTGCTATTTTTTCTATAGTCATTTATCTTTTAGAGTGATTGAAAATAAGAAAATTTATATTTACCTTTATTTATATCATTTCTGGAGCTCTTCATTTCTTTGTGTGGACCTTAGTTTATAGCTGCTATTATTTCTCTTCTGGCTGAAGAACTTTTGTTGACATTTCTTACAACACAGGACTGTTTATAATAAATTATCTCAGCTTTTATTTTTCTTAAAATACCTTTAGTTTGTACTTCATCTTTGAAAGATATTTTCAATTGGTATAAAATTTTACATTGACTTTTCCCAGTAATTTCAATATATCATTACCTTAACTTTTGGTTTGCACAGTTTATGTATTTCAAAGAGAAATATGTATTTTTATCTTAGTTCATTTGTATGTGATTTATCTCTTTAAGCATAATATATATATAATTTTTAATAATATATTTATTCTACTAGTTACTGTTTGGATTTGTAGCTCAATATCTTTCATTACCTTTGGAAAATTCTCAGACATTATATCTTCAAATATCTTTCTGCTTCATTCTTACTCTTATATCCTCGGGAATCCCAATTATATATATATTTTAGATTGGCTGATATTATTCCACAGCTCTTGGATGCTCTGCTCTTTTTTCCCTTTTGCTTTTCCTATTTCCCTTTGCATTTATGTTTAGATTATTTTTATTGATCTAACGATTACTGATTTATTTTTCAGCTGTGCCAAGTGTACTGATGAATGCATTAAAGGCATTCTTCATCACTATTGCTGTGATTTTGGTTTCATCATTTCCTTTTGTATTATTATTGTGGTTTGTGTCTTACTGATGACATTTCCCATTTCTTCATGAATTTTGTTCTCATTTTCCACTACAGCCTTTAACATATTAAGCTTTATTTAAAATTCATTGTGTGATAATTCCAGTATCTGGTCATTTCTATGTCTGGTCCTGTGTATCATTTTTTCCCTAGATAGTAGGTTGTTTTTTCTTGATATTTTGGCTATGTCTCACAATTTTTTATAGAATACCAGAAGAGTAGAGAATACTACTGTTTTTATAGTATTTATAGTACTTGCAAATATTATTTGTCACTATAAATGGATATATCTCTTTCCAGCTCATTTGGGTGGGGACTTGTGTCAACCTAGCTTGGAGTTAAGGTGTGTTTGAGTTTCTTTGTTGCTATGGTTATCTTCAGTATCCAACTAGCTTCAAATTATTCTAGTGCTATTTTATTTTTGAGGGAAGGGGCTGGCTGGGGTGATTGAGTATTTAAGATGACCATAGCAACAGTGAAACTCAAACCTAGTTTATTTCCAGACTAGGTTGACACAAGCCCCTACACAAATGACCTGGAAAGAAGTATATCCATTTATAGTGATGAATAATACTTATAATATTCTCTGGGAATGTTTGCCACTCGTTCAGGTGTGGACAAGTTTTCCTTTATTGTTTCTCGTCCTCTCACTTTTGTACTCAGGTGATAAGTTCGTTATTGCTCCCCTAGTCATGTAAGGCTGTTTTTCCCATAAGGGACTTCATGCCTTTCCTATTACAGAAGGCTCTCTCCTTCTCTAGGCCTGTACCACAAAGGAAAACATTTTCTGGTCTACCTACCTGCCTGTAATCTTCCTTCTGAATATCTGGTAGAGACCTGTACAGCAGAGTCTTCAAATGGATGTGAATTCCCTTTGTGTCTATGACTCAGTAGTTCCACACTCTCGTATTTCCTTATTTGACATTTAATAATATTTAAAAATTAGCTTAGCTTTTTTACTAACTTGTATGGGACCCAGCATTACTTCTTCTTGTCTCTGCCATGGAGGAGTCAGTGCTTGCTTCCCATGCTCTTTTTGGTGGGACTTGACTTTCCTTTGACATTGGATGATTTAGCTGCTCTTCAAACTCCGTTCTCTGATAGATTTGGGAGTTATGATTTTGTACTTAATTGAGATATTTGTCATTGTTAGGGTAGAAGGGATACTGTTTCCATTTTTCTACATCTTAGGTGAAAGTGAAACTTCAAAAACTTTTAAAAATTAAAGTTCCTGTTAGGAAACAGAACATCTATGCTAATTCAGTGTTTCTCAGATGGTTTCTGGTGGAGCATCTGGAAGTCATAATGCTATTTATAGAATAACTGCTTTATTCAAATTTAAATAATTGAATGTATGTTTCTGTCAAATTATGTAAATTATTTATATATTAAATGGCTGATGCAATTTAATGAATATATCTTGGATTTTGATAATGATAGAAGATATTTTTATAGTTTATATACAATTCTAATAACACAACTTTGGAAGATGAGTTTACTGTTCACATTTTATGGATGAGAGGAACTGAAGTATAAAGATATTAGGTTGATTGCTTTGGGGCATAGAGAATTAGCATGTATTTGAGTTGACATTTGACGCTGTATCATTTTGTTTGAAAATGTAGCCTTTTTTCACTGTACCACAATGTGATGTTAACTTCTTTTTGCTTGGTTAAACACTTGGTGACTAGGGAAGGGGTAACTAACAGTAAAAATCTGACTGGACTTTTATTGCTGAATATACTTTGACTTTTACTTAACATGAGACAATTTTTTTTAATAGGCAATGATATGGGAAATGATGATGCCATTGGAGGGAATGTGAGCAAATATATAGTGCTTCCAACTGGATATTGTGGACAGCCCAAGAAAGGACATCTTCTCTTTGATGCTTGCTTTGAAAGTGGTAAGTATATTAAAGGCTTTTCCTTTTAAGTTTGTCTGGTAAGACATTTTTTTTTTTCAGAATTGAATTTTATGTGACCATTCAGTGCAATTCAAGTCATTTAATATTTCACAATAATGGGACAAGTTTTATGGGAAAAAATTTTGAAGGAATTAACTTGGGAATATCAAATTTTTGTTGTTATAAATGATTAAAAATATAATTAATGGTAATATTAACAAATGCTTATATAGTACCTTATATTTTAGAAACTACTCTCCAAGATACTTTTTTGTTTTGGACTAAAACCCTCATGTTTGACTGTATTATCAATTATGAGTTATTGAGTAATATCTGTCTAGTTCTGTATGACATGCTTACAGTAGAACTTAGTCTTGCGGGGAGAGGAGGCTTCCCTATAAAACAAACAATTAGACAGCAGACCTAATTGAATACAAACTAAAGAACAGAGGTAAAATTTCCTCATAATTGGTAAATACTGTGGGTATTCTGACAGTGGAGATGAGGACTTGATTGTGTATTCTCATACAGAAGGGACTAGATCTTGTTTAGCTCTTGATGTTCTCAACCTCATGCTCTAATTGTCACATAGTAGAGACTCAGAATATGTTGAAAATGTTCGTAAGAAAGGTAAACATAATTTTATTTTACAAATAATTATTAACTTTCATTGGTTGTGAATAACCAATGAAATTAGTTTTTCATATACATGCATGTATGCAAATACATACACACATACATGCATGCATGTGTGTGCATATTTATGTATATGTGTGGCTGAAGGGACATATCAATATCAATTATATAATAGTTGTTTCTGAACCTTAAAAGCATTGGTTGTTTATAGCAAACAATTGAAAATTTGTTTATGCAGGATGTTGCTCTTTGATTATGTCATATTGTATAGGTTTGATAAGATTGATATAATAAAGTACTACAAAGTGGGTTAAACAACATATATTTATTTTTTCTTACTTTAACAGTATTCAGTTTGTCACAAAGTACCACAAACTGAGTGAATTAAAAAACGGAAATGTATTGTCTCACAGTCCTGGAGATTAGAAGTCTGAGATCAAGGTATTAGCAGGACTGATTCCCCCTAAGAATTATGAGGAAGAATCTGTTCCGTGTTTCTCCCCTAGCTTCCTACAGGTTGTTAGCAATCTTTGGTGCTCCTTGGCTTATAGAAGCATCACTCTAATCTCTGCCTTCATCTGTACATGGTGTTCTCCCTGTATGTCTGTATTCCAAATTCCCACTTTTTACAAAAATGTCAGTCACATTGGATTGGGACCTACTTTAATGAGCCCATTTTAACTTGATTACCTCTATAAAGATCCTAGGACTTCAACATAGGAATTTTGAGAGTACATGATTCAGCCCATAACGCAGTATTGTAGTATTGTACTTCCAACCAGACTTGAATACTGTCTGCATAATTAAGAACAATGGCTTTTTATTTTCGATAAATCTTGTACTAGTGCCTTGTCTTATATGTACTTGATGCCTACAAAATATCTTTAATTCTTTCTTACGTTAGTTAAAGATGTAAGGACCTTTTACAATAATTACAACTTTGTGGGAATAAAGATTATCCCCATTTTAAAGATTAAATATCTTGATTTACATACAGCCTGCAATAATTCATATTCCTTTCTCATAACATCTTTTCTTTAACCCCGCTGCAGTCTTTTTCCATCCCTTCAAAAAAAACTCAGTAAAAGAAATTGTTCAATCTTACCATGTAATCACCAAATAAATAATGCATATTTTCCCAACAATTTATGAACAATTGGTTATATCAGTTAGATCTGTGCTAGTAATACATGAGACTTGCAGTAGAGTGGTTAAGTGGACAGACTTTGATTCAGGCTGCAGTTCAAATCTTGGTTTGAAAAAGGAGCCAGTTTTCTTACATTTTATTGAGGGATGATACCTACTATCCATCTTAATGTGTGTGTGTGTATGTATGTGTGTGTGTGTGTATGTATGTGTGTGTGTGTGCATATATATATACAGATAGCTAGCTAGGTAACTATTAAAAATGTGAGCTTCCTTACCAGAATATACATAGTAATAATAATAATAATAATAAATTAGTTGAATGAGGACGTTTTAGAAAAGATATATATTAGTTAGGGCAAAGAAGACTCTTCAGAATTTAGAGTGTCAGTGACCCTGGAGGGCCTTCCCACACATCCACATCCTAACTTTCACAATCCTGTGTTTCCAAATCAATGCCCTCATGTTAACAGTACGCACTCCGCCAGGCTGGTGTTTAACTTGCCTTGTAATTCATCAAGTCATAGGATGAGGTTCTACATTTGATCTTCAGCAATTTCAGCCCTGCAGCTAAAGAAAGTGAAAGTCTCCTTCAGGGTACACACAGAAGCTCTTAGGTTACTCATTAGGTGTTTTTGCTGGGAGTTTGAATCCCTGAACTCATCCCCCCACCTTTTTTTAACCATGTTGTCCGGTAACATCAGGAGGAACCAGTCAGTGTCATTAAATTTTCAAAATGTTTAATAGTATCATATACAAAGTCACATAGATCCCTGCTTCTTATAAGTGATCGATTAGGAATATCTAGTGCACTTGTTTTTCATATCTCTGTAAACATTTCATGCCATGGACTTTCTGCTGTTGGATATAACACCATTAGCACCTTAAGTTTTCTATTTGAATACATTTAAGAGGTACAAATGCAGTTTTGATACATGGATATATTGCATAGTGGTAAAGTTTGGGCTTTTAGTGTAACTATTACCCAAATAGTATACATTGTACCCACGAAATAATTTCTCATCTCTCATTCCCTGAACCCCCCTACCTTTTTGAGTTCCAAGGGCTATTATTCCAGATTCTATATGTATACATATTATTTAGCTCTCACTTATTAATGAGAGCGTGTGTATTGACTTTCTGCTTTTGAGTTATTTTACTTAGGGTAATGGCCTCCAGTTCCATCCATGTTGCCGCAAAAGACATGATTTATTTATTTTTTTTATGGCTGGATAGTATTCCATTGTATATCACATGTTCTTTATGCTGTCCTGCATTGAGTGACATTTAGATTGATTCCACATCTTTGCTATTTTATGTTTTCTTTTTTTTTTTAATTTATTTATTATTATTATACTTTAAGTTGTAGGGTACATGTGCATAAACGTAGCAGGTTTGTTACATATGTATCTTGTGCCGTGTTGCTCGTCTGCAACCCATAACTCAATCATTAACATCAGGGTAAATAACTCCCAATGCAATCCTCCCCTCCCCTCCCCATGATAGGCCCGTGTGTGTGATGTTCCCCTTCCTGAGTCCAGTGAATCTCATTGTTCAGTTCCCCCTATGAGTGAGAACACTGCGGTGTTTTGGTTTCTGTTCTTGTGATAGTTTGCTCAAGAATGAATGTTTCCCAGCTGCATCCATGTCCCTAACAAAGGACACAAACTCATCCTTTTTTATGGCTGCATAGTATTCCATGGTGTATATGCACACATTTTTCTAATCCAATACTGTCACTGATGGGACCATTTGCGGTATGATTCCAAGTCTTTGCTATATGTTGAATATGCTGCAATAAACATACGTGTGCATTGTACTTTATAGCAGCATAATTTTATAATCCTTATGCGGTATAATCCCCAGTAATGGGATTGGCTGGGTCAATGGTCACATCTAGTTCTAGATCCCTTGAGGAACGCCATACTCGTTTTCCATAATGATGAACTAGTTACAATCCCCACAACAAGTGTAAAGTGTCCTATTTCTCCACCATCCTCTCCCAGCACCTGTTCGTTTCCTGACTTTTTAATGATCGCCATTCTAACAAAGACCCGCATCTCCAAGACAATCCTAAGTCAAACAGAACAAAGCCCCGGAGGCATCACGCTACCTGACTTCAACTATACTACAAGCTACAGTAACCAAAACAGCATGGTACTTGGTACCCAACAGAGATATAGACCAATGGAAACAGAACAGAGTCCTCAGAAATAACAGCACAACATCTACACCATCTGATCTTTTGACAAACCTGAGAGAAACAGAAATGGGAAAGGATCCCTATTTAATAAATGGTGCTGGGAAAATTGGCTAGCCATAAGTAGAAAGCTGAAACTGGATCCTTTCCTTACTCCTTATACGAAAATTAATTCAAAATGGATTAGAGACTTAAATGTTAGACCTAATACCATAAAAATCCTAGAGGAAAACCTAGGTAATACCATCTTTGCTATTTTAAATAGTATTGTAATAAACATTGGAGTGCAGGTAACTTTTTTACATAATGATTTCTTTTTCTTTGATTTTTACATAATGATTTCTTTTTCTTCTTAGAGATTTAATCTGAGATTAAAATCTCTTTTAATTGAATGGTATTGAATGAGTTCTATTTTTAGTTCTTAGAAAAATCTCCATACTGTTTTCCATAGAGGTTGTGCTAATTTACATTCCTACCAACAGTTGATAAGCATTCTCTTGTCTCTGCATCCTCAATAACATCTATTATTTTTTTGCTTTTTAATAATACTCATTCTGACTGGTATAAAATGATACCTCATTGTACTTTTAATTGCATTTCTCTGATGCTTAATGATGTCGAACATTTTAAAAATGTGTTTATTTGCCATTTGTAATGTTCTCTCTTAAAAAATATTTATTCATGTCCTTTGCCTATTTTAATGGGGTTATTTATTTTGTTGTGGTTGTTGTTTGAGTTCCTTATAAATTTTGGATATTGGATATTCATCTTTTTGTGACATTTTTGTAAAAATTGGATAAAGTTTGGATATTAGTCCCCTGTCTGATAAATACTTTGCAGGTATTTTCTCCCATTCCACATGTTGTCTGTTCATTGTGTCGATTATTTCTTTTGCTGTGTGGAAGCTTTTTAGTTTAATTAAGTCCCATAGATTTATTTTTGTTTTTGTTGCTAATACTTTTCATGCCTTAGTCATTAATTATTTGCCTAGACCAATGTCCAAAGGAGGTTTTCATAGTTTTTCTTATAGTATTTTTATAGTTTTAAGTCTTACATTTAAGTCTTTAATCCATCTTGAGTTGACTTTTGTGCATGCCAAGAGATAGGAGTCTAGTTTCATTCTTCTGCAGGTGGCAATACAATATTACCAGTACCCATTTATCGAAAGCAGTGTCCTCTTCCCAGTGTATGTGTAGTTGGCTGGAGACAGGTGGCTTTATTTCTAGGTTCTCTATTCTTTCATTGATGTTAGGTGTCTATTTTTAAACCAGTACTGTGCTGTTTTGGTTAATATAGCCTTGTAGTATGTGTAATTTGATGCCAGATAATTTGATATCTCCAGCTTTGTTCTTTTTGCTTAGAACTGCTTTGGCTATCTGGGCTCCTTTAGGTACACTATGAGTTTTAGGATTGCTTTATCTGGTTCTATGAAAAATAATGTCAGTATTTTGATAGGGATTGCATTGAATCTGTAGCTTGCTTTGGGCAGTGTGATCACTTTAACAGTATTAATTCTTCTGCTCCATGAGTATGGGATGTTTTTTCATGTGTTTATATCATCCATATATTTTTCATCAGTGTTTTGCAGTTTTTCTAGTAGAAATATTTCATCTCCTTGGTTAAATGTATTCCTAGGTATTTTATTTTTTTGTAGTTATTGTAAATGGGATTGCCTCCTTGATTTGTTTCTCAGCTTAGTCATTCTTGGTATATAAAATTACTACTAGTATTTAAAAAATATTTTAATTTCAATCTTGGCGGTTACATGATAGGTTTATATATTTATGGAGTACATGAGATACTTCTTTCCTTCAGTGGATTGTCTCTTCACTTTTGTATTAGTCCATTTTCACCCTGTGGATAAAGACATACCAGAGACTTGGAAATTTACAAAAGAAAGAGCTTTAATGGACTTACACTTCCACGTGGTTGGGGAAGCCTCACAACCATGGTGGAATATAGGAGGAGCAAGTCATGTCTTGCTATGGGACAATAGGAAAGATTTGCTAAGTGTGCATATAGCAAATCTTTCCTATTTCAAATCTTTTCTATTGTGAATAATGCTGCAATATACATGGGAGTGCAGATATCATTTTGATATACTAATTTCGTTACTTTTGGGTACATACCTAGCAGTGGGATATGTCACTGCTAGCTATATGGTAGCTCTATTTGTAGTTTTTTTGAAGAACCTCCATACTGTTCCCATAGTGCCCATAAATTAATGTATATTCCCACAAACAGTGTATGAAGTTTCCATTTTTTCCACATCCTTGCCAGCATTTGTTATTGCCTGTCTTTTAGATAAAAGCCATTTTTACTGGGGTGAAATGACACCTCATTGTAGTTTTAATTTGCATTTCTCTGATGATCAATAAATTTGAGCAAATTTTCATAAACCTGTTGGTCATTTGTATGTCTTCTTTTGAGAAATGTCTATTCAGGTCTTTTGCCCATTTTTAATTGGATTATTAGCTTTTTTAAAAAGTAGGGTTGTTTAAGCTCCTTCTGTATTTTGGTTCTTAATCTCTTGTCATATGGATAGTGTGCAAATATTTTCTCTCCTTCAGTGGGTGTCTTTTCACTTTTTTTATTAGTCTGTTTTTCACCCTGTTGATAAAGACATACCTGAGACTTGGTAATTTACAAAAGAAGGAGTTTTAATGGACTTACATGTCCACATGTCTGGGGAACCCTCACAACCATGGTGGAAGGCAAGGAGGAGCAAGTCACGTCTTACATGGATGGCAGCAGGCAGGGGGAGAGAGCTCGTGTAGGGCAACTACCATTTTTAAAACTATCAGATCTCATGAGACTTACTCACTATTACAAGAGAAAGACCTGCCCCCATGATTCAATTATCTCCCACTGGCTCCCTCTCACAACATATGAGAATTATGGGAGCTACAAGATGAGATTTGGGTGGGGTCACAGAGCCAAACCATATCATTCTGCCCCAGCCCCCCACAAATCTCATGTCCTCACATTTTAAAACCAATCATGCCTTTCCAGCAGTCCCCCAAAGTCTTAATTCATTTCAGCATGAACTCAAAAGTCCACAGTCCAAAGTGTCATCTGAGACAGGGCAAGTCCTTTCTACCTATCAGACTGTAAAATCAAAAGCAAGTTAGTTACTTCCTAGATACAATGGGGGTACAGGCATTGGGTAAATACAGCCATTCCAAATGGGAGAAATTGGCCAAAACAAAGGGACTATGGGAAAGTAAGTCCAACATCCACCAGGGCAGTCAAATCCTAAAGCTCCAAAATGATCTCCTTTGACTCCATGTCTTACATCAGGTCATGCTGATGCAAGAGGTGGGCTCCCATGGCCTTGGGCAGCTCTGCCTCTGTGGCTTTGCATGGGATAGCCCCCTTCCTGGCTGCTGTCATGGGCTGGCATTGAGTGCATGTGATTTTTCTAGGCACACAGTGCAAGCTATCAGTGCATCTACCATTCTGGTGTCTGGAGGATGGTGGCCCTCTTCTCACATCTCCACTAGGTGGTGCTTCAGTAGGGACTCTGTGTGAGGGCTTTGACTTCACATTTCTCTTCTGCACTGCCCTAGCAGAGGTCCTCCATGAGTGCTGTGCCCCTGCAGCAAACTTTTGCCTGGGCATCCAGGCATTTCCATATATACTCTGAAATCTAGGCAGAGGTTCCCAAACCTCAATTCTTCACTTCTGTGCACCTGCAGGCTCAATACCACA